CATAAAGTCTTTAAGATAAGATTTTAATAGACAGATCATGCCTGTTGTCCTGACTGTCCCATTGTCATTCACTTAGCAGATGAGATCTGTCAGTTCTCAAAGTGATACTTTAGAGATTCTGCTTTTATTCTATTTCAGAGCAAGTAAATTAGTTCTTAGCATCATTGTCTTGTTAACTTTTGGTCATGTAATAATTCTTTCTGAAGCACATGCAAAACATAAAATATATGACGGATGAAAAATCAGTATCCCAATGTTATTGATTTTATATACCCAGAGGACCTGACACTTAAGTAGCTAAACTGATTTATCTAGTAAAATCCTGTTGGACCTAATCTGAATTTTGCCTCTTCTCCTCTCCTAGGTGCAGAAAAAAACTTTTACTTTCAAGATCAAAGCAGTTGAATTAAAGAAAAGAATCTATTGCTTTATCAGAAATAATCATCCAGTTTCCTTCCCAGGAAAGGTAGAAGGTTGTTCTCTTTTTTAATATAAGCTGTCCCAGTACTTCTCTGTTTTTATGGGAATGAAGAACAGTCTAAGTATTACAAAAAGAAGTAGGCTTAAATTTCAAACAACCTTGATATAATTCTCATTGCTTACATCTAGGGTAAATTTAAAGAATCATGAGCTGTAGAGCTGTAAAACAAATCTAAATTAATGTATTCAGATCCTCCATGTTGCAGGATTAAATTTAGCATGATTGAAATATGTTTGTTCTCAATATACTAAAATCTCTGTTGATAACTTTCAGTGGTTCCACTACCTTTTTGTTGAAAGATTTTTCCAGTTAAGCTATTATTCCTGCAGAGCCATTGCAGTGAAAACAGTTTAGACCAGCAAGACAGATTTTTTTTCTTTAATTACAGGACTTTGGTTTATTTTTTTTTTCCCCATGACAAGTAGCTAATCAGAAACAAAGATCTGTGTGTTGTTAAACCAAATGTAATCCCATGACTTGAATTAGGAATGGTTTAATGCTCATTATAACTATTTTGTTTGTGTTCTTATAACCTATTAAATTTGAGAAAGCATATTCAAAACAGTACTAATGTCTGATGTGTGGGGTAAATTTTCCTCTCTTCAAGTTAAATAGAGGACTTCATGTAGTTCTGTTAAGAGTGAAAGTTGGCAAGGAATTGTTAAGGTTTTAGGTCATGACTATGTATATTTTTCATGGATAGTTGTTCAGGTAAATAATAAATAATAAGAAATTAAAAGAATAATATAACATAGTGGAAGATGAAGTGGATTGCAATGGTCTTTTAGTTACACAGTATTTAATTTCAAAATCTTAAAACTTCATCATCTATGAGGCTTTGTCTTACTGAAAGTTAATTGCTCCTAGGAAAAGAAACTGATGGCCATGATCCCCATCCCAGATCGTGCAATCACAGTCACAAGATAATTCAGGTTGGAAGGGACCTCAGGAGGTTTCTAGTCCAACCTCCTTCTCAAAGCAGGGTCAGCTATGAGATCAGACCGTATCCATTTGGGTCTTGAAAACCTTCGAAGATGAAGACTACCCCACATCTATGTATGAACTGTCCAATTTGCTTGACCATCTTCATGGTGAGGATATGGCACCCTTTAAAAAAAAAAAAATTGTAATTGTTTATTTATTTGTTTGTTTAGACAGGCCCATATCCATCTGTATACTAAGACTGCTCCATGATGTCATTTTGTGGTTGGGGCTATAAGCAAAGGTCACAGCTGCTTCACTATTTACTGCAGGAACAGGGGAGAGACTAGATGTTTTCTACACAGCTATTTTCTGTTTAGATTTTGTTGTGTACAGCCGTACCTGGTGGGCTGGTGGAGATGTTCTGGTAAGTTTTACTCATTTTACAAGTTTCAGGCTGATCATCCATGCTGAGAGTCACTGAAGTCAAGGAATGAGATTTTTAACTTGACTCAGTGTTTTTTGAGAGAAATCTAGAGAATGCAAGACTGGTATGAAATGATGCAGCTGGCCTCAATGTAGTGATGACATGTACTAAAAAGCCTATAGTGACTAATGATTTCTGATAAGAAATTCTAAGCCTAGAGCTCTTCCTTTAGGAAGACTATCATCAGCTAGAGTTAAAAAGACGTCACTTACACATTCTTCTTCATGAGATCTTAGCATCCATGGAGAGTCTATGGATGTCAGTTCCAGTGCTGGGAACTGAACTGACTGGGGTTCATGAAGTAGAATTTAGCCAAAAAAGACTAAAAGTATGCTTCTCTGCCCATTGACAAGATATCTATAATATTTTAGTTGGTTCAATCATCTCTTCTACATCCATGAGCTGATTTCATCCAAGGACTATAGTAACTTGAGAGGTCTGCTATTCTTGTCTGCATTGCAGTCTGGAATGTTTTATGTTCATGTTCCCAATACTAAAGAGCATGTTATAGTACCAGTACCTATTCCACTTTGAT